GTGCCCACGTTTTCCGGTACGGTAGGCGGGCACTACTACCTTAAGGACAGCTCCGGCGACTCCGCTATCCTTCCACGGTGTTGTGTTTTTGCAGGTTCAGTGCTTAAAGACCTCGCTGCATTCTGTCCTAGTGCATAATGTCCTCGCAGCCCAGTGCATAATGTCCTCGCAGCCCTGTGCATAACGTCCTTTGCTTGCTGTCCAGTGCTTAAAGACCTCGCTGCCCAGTGCTTAAAGACCTCGTTGTCCAGTGCTTAACGTCCTCACTGTCCAGTCCTTAATGTCCTCATACAACAAGGCCGTTTGAAGATATAGCAATTTTTCTCAACTTTATTTATTTTGTAATATTCTGAATAAATTATAAATTCAGAATTTTATTTATTTTTATTACCGGGGCCGTTCATCTTCCCCGTCCGTTGTAATCCGTACATAAATTGTAACACTAATAACGTTAAAATAATCGATGATTGATAATTTTTGCGCTAAAAACTAATTTTGACCGTAAAGACAATTGCATTAACGTAAAACGTAAAGAACATCCAATTGTAGTCATTTAAAAAACATTTAAAAAACAGGTTTTACGTTTATGACTTTTTAAAGGAAAATTTAAAATAATAATCTGAAAAATTTTCGATTTTACAAGAATACTCCGAAAATAAATCAATTGCATCATTACTCTCACAATTGCTCTATTTTTGCATAAATACTCCACCCGCCACCTCACTTGCACAATCATATTATGTAATATCTATATTAATTTTTTAATTTATGACTTGGAAAATAAATCAATTTTTTCAGTTTACATATAAAAAATAAATTACTTATTCTTCCTCATCAATCTCCTACTTTAAGAGTTTGCTCTTTTGGATTGGAAAAAAGTTAACTTCTAACTCTTTTCAACTTTTTCTAACTTATTATAGTAGTTTCTTTGAACATTCAACTTTAGGATTCCAATGACCAAAAATGACATGCTCTAGAGACGTGATTGATATTTGAGTTGGACGAATAAATAATTTATTTTTTTATGTAAACCAAAAATTAAAAAAAATCAAATTATCACTTTAAAAATCCGGCCATTTAGATATTACACAATTGTATTGTGCAAGTAGTGTGGCAGTGGAGTGTTTTTGTAAAAAGAGAGTAATTTTGGGAGTAACAGTGTAATTAATTGATTTTTGGAGAAGTCTTGTAAAATCAAAAAATTTTCGGAGTGTTATTGTGAATTTTTCCTTTTTTTAATTGTTAATTATACGGAGTATTTATTAATAACTTTTGTAGAAAACCCAATGTATACTATAATTATAAGAGTAAATTCTCAAAATGGTGTTTTGTAATAAGGTGTTTTCCTCATTCTGTCCTCAACAAATTTTTGACTACCTACATGGCCCTCCATAATTGAGACTTATTCTCAAGATAGTCCTTCGTAAATAATGTTACTCTAATGATAATTAATTGGGAGATATTTTGGTATTTTGATCATATAAATTTAAAGTATATTCTTTGTACGCCATGACACCGGGGAATGGCCGAGAGTAATAAAATAACCAGTAACTGAACGACGAGTCAAAGGACAGCCAGCCCAATCAGAGCCAGTTTTGAATTCTTGAGACCTCAAACACGCTTCTTCCCCTGCCGGTGGGCATATTCAATTCAATGTCTACCGGCGGGATATTGTAATTTTTGATTTTATTTGATTGTTCTTCCTCACTAAATAATATTATGAAACCTAGAAATTTTTGCGACTACTGTTCACGATCGCCCGGCATCGCGTCCATCGATCGTTGCTCAGTTTCGTTGCCCGCTGCTGCTATCGAAGTGCCGGAACGGTCGACCGTTTCTGAAGAACGGTCGAGTGGGTCGACCGTCCCGACGGCAGTTTCCATTGTTCGCTGCTGCTGCCGGATAACGGAACGGTCGACCGTTGCTTCAGAACGGTCGAGCACATCGACCGTCCCTTCGACAGTCTCCTATTGTTGGTCTCTTGGATTCGGAACACGATTGATCCAGCCTTGAGATCCAGCATATCGTATGTGGAAAAAACTTCAGATCTATGGAATGATTTGAAGGCCCGCTTCTATGTGGTTAATGGACTGAGGGTTCAGCAGTTGAAGCGGGATTTGGCGGAATGCCAACAGAAGAATCTCACCATAATGGAATATTATGGGAAGATGAAGAGGTTGTAGGACGATCTTGCAGGTTTGGAGCAGTTCCCAATTTGTACGTGTAGGAATTGCACGTGGGACCTACCGGAGAAGCTTGCGCAGATGCACAAACCGAGGGAACGTTTCTTGCAAGTTTGGAGCAGTTCCCAATTTGTACGTATAGGAATTGCACGTGGGACCTGTCGAAGAAGCTTGCACTGATGCGCAAACCAAGGGAACGTTTTTTTATGTCCAAGCTGTGCATGTTGAACTTCCATGCTTCAGCTTGAGGGGGGTGTTAAAGATAGAAGAAGGAAGTAGTATTGAAGAAGGAAGCGGGATTGAAGAAAGAAACCGAATCCCTTTGGGATTAGGTTTAATATCTTTCCTAGTAGGATTAGGTTTAGTATTTAATATCTTTCCTAGTTTGTTTAATTCTTATTTTAGTAGGAATAGAAATTTTCTTGTTTACTTTACCCTTTTCCTATATAAAGAGGGTTAGATCTTTGTATTCAAGACAATAGTTTTACAAACCAATTCAATATACAGAGAACTTTCTCCAAAATAATTCTTTCATTTATCAATTGTATCTTGAAGTCATGTCCGATTAATGATACTATATTTTACCTGAAGGAGGAATTTATTAACGTTATTGCTAACAAGTGTAAACACATAATTTAGCTTGAGGTTGTTTGTTTTGCTGATTGATTGTTGTATAAATGTATAACTTTGTTTTTTGGGCAATATATTTATACTTTATGATTGAAAAAAAGGGATGAGTTGAATTGCAATACTTTTTTGAAACGTCAATTCTTCTAAATCTATATTACTGGGCAGTTCTTATAGCATGTTAGCTCCAGCAGTTTGAAATCCACTCGCTCTTGTTCCGTGCCCCATAGGCGCTGAAATATGAATTGGGCCACGGTAGGAACTAGATTAAATTCCATGTTTTACTTTTATTGTTAACAAGTGTAATGCATGATTCAGCTTGAGGTTGTTTGCTGATTGCATATAACTTTTTTTGGTTAATATATTTATGATTTTTAGTGTAAAAAAAAATCAATGGGATTGTTATGTGTATGTTATCTATTTCATGAGAGTTTTAAAATATTCTTCTACGTTTACATTACAATACACCCCTTATAACTTGATGGCTTCCACCCGTAGTCTTGGAACTACCCTTCGCAAAGCATATATTTGCGCTTTCTTTTCGGATTCCAATTTTTTCGAATCTCCTAGATCCTACATAATGTTTTGAAAACCAGACCGAACATTGAACCGGATAAGCTACTAGGTCAAGAGTTAACCGGTTGAACTGGGTTGACTAAGGTCAATGACCCAGTCAACGACCCATGACTTGGTATATAATATTCATAATTATGTTTACATAATAAAAAATTAAATAATAACGTGTTTTGTGGACTATTTTCAAAGATAATAAAACATTATCATATAACTTAAATACCTACTCCGTATTATTTCTAAACAATACCAAGCATATACTCCACCCGTCTAACCTCAATCTTTCCATTTGAACCGGACACACATATTAAAGAAAGATGTAAATATCATTTTCAATGTTAAATAAAAATACTTAATATTGTTTTTTTTCTTCACCATGTTATTTTCAATGTCATTGTTCATATACTCTTTCACATACACTTTCCATATTTTATTATAATTAGTATCTATTTTTTCATTTTATAGATGATAATATTTGTTTAGATGTAAATTATTCATTATTATTTAATAAAAAAATAATATATATATTTTACTTTGAAATATTTTAAAAGATTATAAAATAACTATAAAAACAAACATGTTCTTTCTTACAAATAGTTAGAAGTTTTTAAATTCCTCAACACAAATAAGAAACACTATATATACTATTCTACATGATTTTGGTAACAAGTGTCTAGTAGCTTAAGTGGTTAGAGTCTTAGGGAGTTGAATGGTGAGGTTTAGTGTTCGAATCCAATCTTCATCATTTTATTTTATAGACAAACAAAAACTTTAATTTTGAACCCAACCTTGGGCCGGTTAGGTCAACCCGGTCCACCTATTCTGCCGGGTCTACCGGGTTTGGGCGGGTCAATGCATATCTAGTTTTTACAATTGAAGAGAACCGAAGTGCTAACCGGTTCACGGTCCGACCGATTGGACCAGCCGGTCCGGTCCGATTCTAATAACATTGCTATATTCTTAAGATAAAATAACTTGTCTCATTGTTCAGTTCTGACCTAGTAGCAGATAAAACATGTTGCACACCACGATAAACATCTCCACGCGACCATATGTCCACGTACAACGAACATGATGTAGCGGACAGTTACACCAAAAGCAGTTCCATCATGGACACCACAATGGTTGTATGCTCTTCAATGTGACCACCTCCTCCGGCTTAAAACATTCTATGCTTGTCGGAGGATGATTCGTTACCTACTCTGTTGCATCCCCTTCTTTAAACGCAAAGGGCCATTTTTTATTCAATTTTTGGTTCTGACAATACCACCATTTGGTATATACTATTATATTGTTCTCTTAACCATGACTTGGGTTTAAGGGTAAGGAGGACAATGCAATGGCATACTAATGGGTGGTTTTGTCATAATAGACCATGAATCATAAATGGCTCTTTGTGTTTAAAATGAGTACAGCAGAATATGTAATGAATCATCACCCGACAATAATATAATGTTTTAAGCCGAAGGTGGCCACTTTGAAGAGCATACAATCATCGTAGTGCCTGTGATGGAAATGCTATGGGCGAGAGTGTCCACTACATCATGTTCATTATGGACATAAGCTTGGGGGAGACGAATATCTTGATGTGTTGGCAGGGTTTATCTACCACAAGTGTAAAAATGAAAGATGGGACAAGCTTTTTTTGCAATGTTGATGATTGTAGACAAATGATTGTCTACTATTGCAACAGACAGGACCTAGGATATTTGACACTACTGGAATCCAAAGGGGAGGAGCATACATATATGATTGGCAGAGGGTAGTGCCAAGCCGATGGGGGAGGCCATCAAGCAATAAGGTGACCCTGTAATGTAAACATAGAAAAACTAATTTTTAACAAACCATTACAAAATATAAATAAAATACACATCACAATTCAACTAATTCTTTTTTTTTACATCAAAAAAGACAAATACATTAACCAAAAAAATAGAGATACATAGCAGTCGATCAGCAAACTACCAAAACAACAAACTCAAGCTAAATCTTGTGTTTACTTTTGTTAGCAATAGAAGTAAAAATATAGAATTTAATCCAATCCCTACTAATGCATATCAAAGTATAAATGACATTGGTAATTGCTAATTACCTTGGCTAAATTCAACTCTTTAACACCTAGGAGGCAAGAAATATGGGCTAGAAGATTTGTAACTACTAGAGTCGAGAGTCGAGTGTGCTTTGAAGAGGGGTAGTACCGAAGCCAACGGGCGAGAATACTCTAAAGTGCTCTATAAGGTAGATGTAGAAGAACTAATCTTTTAAAAAACTGTCACAATTTGACAAATTCTCTTTTAAACCAAAAAGCAAAAAAAAAAAATAGTGACCAAAAAACAAAGTTATACCGCAATCAATCAACAAACTACCAAAACAATAACATCAAGCTAAAGTTTGTATTTACACTTCTTAGCAATAAAATTGATAAATCCCTCGAGTAAAATATATCATCAATCGGATATGATTCAAGATAAATTTGGTAAATCCCTTTACAACTTCAAAAGAGGAGTTCGCACTTAGTATAGAACAAATAAGCACAAAATCTCAACACATATTTATCCCTATCAGGTCATCCTTAGAAAATTTAGCAACCTTACCATCATCAATGTCTGTTCATTGATATTCAATTGTTTTTCTATCACGAACATAGAATCTCTGTTTCGCATAATGATATGATACATTGAATCTGAAAATAAACAAACTTAAGAAAAGAGCGTAATAAGTATTAAATGAAAACGTGAAGTAAGTTTATGAAGAATAAAGCGGCCTATAGGAAATATCATGTTCTTCTAAGTTTTTTTAGACAACAACGCTTCTTCATTGTGGTAACGTGCAACCTCGCTTCCAAGGAAGAATCAGGCTCTGTTTGGAACAAAGCGTAGAACCATTTTCAAAAACCTTATGTTCACAACACACCTTAAACTTCTTTCAGAAATCCAATGTCCTAAACTCTAAAGTTTTTGAAAATTTTGGCTTGAAAAAATAGAGAAAACTAGTACTTCATGAAGAAAATCTCTTGCAGGTGGGCTTCTAGCAGTTAATGGAAAGAGTTGTGATTCCATGATTTTAAAGGTCCACATGTAAAATGTGAACATTCTCACACTTTTATGCGCCAACATGGAGATCTTTTATTTCTTTAACAGAACCCAATTTATCCAATATATTTATATGTTAAGCTCCATAAAATGAGTGTAGATTTCAGAACCAAAAAAATTTCCCTAAAGAAAATGTGCTGTGATGAGTGGATTGCGGAAATGAAAATTTTTGTGTTGTCTTGTAATGGCGGTTATGATTGGGATTTATTTTTAATTAGAACCCATTGTTTTAGGTTATCTAGCTTTATTGTTTTAATTAATGTCAGTTGGTTTCCCAAAAATGTAGTATTAATAGTTTCTTTTTGAAATGCAATTTTAAAATGTTAAACAAAAATATAAAAAACTTAATTAATAGCTCAGTATTGCATTGGAGACAATGAAAAGTCAAATTCGAATATAAAATTCATACTAAGGTGTATATTTGAAAATTAAGTTAAAAATTATATAAAAAAATGATGGCAAAAATCTTTGATTTTAAGACCATGAAAAAGCATACGCAAATAATAGTTATCAAAAACCTGAAGCAAAGGCCTGCTCATCCCCCACCACCACCACCACACACTTGGAGACACTGAAACAACAAATATCAAATCCACAAACCTACCGTGCGATTAGTGTGAGACAACAATGCGAATTCAGCTTGATAAGTCGTCCAAGTCTTTGAAGAGTGGGGAGAGTAGCTAACAGATTATTGGAACCCCAATCGCTCTGGATGATTAGCTTTGCTCAAAACGGATCTCAGAACCGCCCCCATTATTGTTCGTAGATCAGTGCAATTTATACTGAGCTCCGCCTAGGGCAAGTTAATAGAACTGGCAAATCGGTCAGTCAAGTCGGGTTCGGTCACTTCGAGTTCGGATTATTTCGGGTTCGGATCAATTTGGATTCGTGTTGAGAACTGTATGTTCATGACCCAGTGTCATCGGGTTTGGATCGACCTTACGAGTAATGACTTTGGTTTTTAAATTCTTAAAATAACATTAACACTTATATTTTCTACTTCCTCCGTCTCTGAAAACCTTTCTCCTTTCTTTTTTTATCCGTCCCAAAAAATATTTCTCATTTCTATTAAAAAGTCACTTTTACCCCTTACTTTTTCATACCATACCTATCATATCATACCTTTTTACTAATAATCTATCCATCAAACCATACGTTTACCCATCACATCAAAGGACATTTTTGGAAATTCAATACCAAAATACACTCTCCTTAAATCCCTATTCAAAATCAAAACTCTCATGTTTTCCGGGATGGAGGGAGTATTAAATAAATTTAAAATATCAAAATAAATGTATTAAATATATTAGATTATTTTATTTTAAATTCTAAAGTAATTTTTAGATATATAAATCAATATAAGGAATTTAAAAAATGCTTAAGTTTTGAAAAAAAGTAAGATAATTATGCAATATCATTAGAATTTTGTCTGAAAATATAAATTTATACACTAAAAATGAGTAGTAAAGTGTATGATTTTAAAAAACTCTTACTTTTGTGGGTCGGTCAGGTCGGGTTTGGGTTTGACCCAATTTTAGCGGGTCATTTCGGGTTCGATCATCAAAACCTTTGTTCAAAACTCAGTGTTTTCAGGTTGGGTTTCGGGTCAAAAACAGGTCGGGTCATTTTTTGTCAGGTCTAGGCAAGTGCATGAGATATGAGATGGCTATAAAATGAAAAAAAAGGTAAGTGTCGCCCGTTTAGACAGGTTTTTTTAGGACAAGTTTAGACTTTAGACAGATGGGTTTCCATAATATTGGAATCTCATGTCATGGTTGATAGTTTTAATTTCCTAACCCCCGGTAGACCCGGCCCCGACTCGAACATGCCCCCACTCCTTTCAATCACAAAAAGAAAATCATTTAATTTACTTCGCGAACTCATTTCGAATGAAGAGAAGGATTGCAGGCGAAGAGGTCCATTGTATATGCATACCAATAGACTCAAGCTGTGACTGATTTAGCTCCTCCCTTGGCTCGTCGACATACATTGGTTTGTCAATATGCAATGGTGGTATGGAAGCGGTTATACATGAAATGTTTAATTTTATTGATAGGTTCTAATTTCTAATACCCAACAAGCTTTTCTAAAAACTAATGCAACAACGACAACAACAAGATACACACTACAATCCCACAAAATTAAGATATGGAGAATGTGCGTGTACACAGACCTTACCCCTACTTGAAAGTAGTGATGTTCTTTCCAAGACCCTGACTCAAATAGGATGATGCGTTTTAGACGAAAAATTCTTATTTATAATATACTTTTTAACAAAAAAAATATCGAAAAAATAAGGGATGTTTCACAAAAGTAACTTCTAAGCTATGTTTGGTTCATGGGATTCGGAAAGAAACCAAAAGAAAAAGGTCTCTCTCTTGGCTAATATACGATCAGTTTTAGGGTAAAATGATAAATTTCTTCCAATTTTAGGGTATTTTGAAATAGCTGCCTCTTCCGAGCTCTGTTAGCTTATTCACGTATAATACGCGTATTATACATCCGTACGTATGATACACGTATTATACTCCCGAATACAAATTTTTAATGGGACGAACGTATAATATGTGTATTTTTGAGTCCAAACGTATTTACGAATTTTATACGTATTATATTACAAAATCATTAGGATAAAATTCAGATGAGATCAAATAACTTGATTGTCTTTCTGCAAAAATACAAATCTTTAAAATTTGGCGACTCATTTATTATAAACGTATTAAAAGTCAGATCGTAGTTTAAATCATCCGCCAATATCTTTTGTTATAAAAACGTTGCAAACACTCTACTAGTCTCTTCGACTTCGTCTGGCTGAGAGTCCAACATTGCATCTGCACTAGCGAATAGTAAACAACAACATTTTCTCTATTTATTTAAAATTTGAAAATATGATCAATTTTTTGTATTTAGTTCTTAAGATTAAATATTTGTCCACATTTAAAAATACAAATTTGATTTTACTTGTATGATCTAAATTCAAAAAATCTAAATTCGTATATATATTTTTGTATTCTAAAAATAAAAAATATAAACTAAATTTAATTTTACTCAACTTTAAGTTGTGTAAAATATTATTTAGTAAGTTCGTATTTAAATTATAAAGCGACTTAAATCTTCCTTTTAAATTCATGATAAACATTTAATCAGTTTTGTAAAACATAAATTGTCTAATAATATAATTTTTGTCATGTCTTAATTAAATGCTTTATCCATATCTAATTGTTGGCTTCATTTTTGAGAATGTGTTCTTACTTTGAATACATTTTGTGGAAGTACAAAATAGTAATTAGATTGAAAGATCTCCTTTGGGTACACATGGAAAAATGAATAAATAATAAATCGTAGTGTTGGTTAAATTGTTAGAACTTTATGATGTATTTGTATTCAATTTCAAAGTTTAAATTGTGTTTCTTATTAAAAATATATGCATTCATTATAAGCCGTATTTTTGAAAAATCAAACGTATAATACGCGAACGTATCCGTATACGTACTCCGAACATATAAAACGTATAACAAAATGTATTTTAAAAAAGTGATCCGTGTTAAACACAAATGTACGAATAGACGTATTATACTCATATCCGAATAAGCTAATGGTATGTTTGGGAACATGGATTTGGATTTCAAATCCGGATTTGGCTCAAATCCCGGCCCATGTTTGGGAAACTTAAAAAATTTTAATTTGGATTTAAGTCAAATTCTTCTCATTTAAAACAAAGCTTAATTTAAAATCCATGTCCTTTCCTTATCATTTGAATTTCAAGATTTTAAATTTTGGAATTGAAATGCATGAATTGAAATTAAAAGGTTAGTTGTCAATTCCAAACACTACCTAATATAATAGAGCTTGAAAAATGCTAGGGGTTGAAAAATGGTTACATGCATGACTACGTGACATAAGGAGGGCATGCAGTTATGGAATTTGAAGACACACTACTTCCCACTACTTCCATTATCCTTGCTATTATGTAGTCATTATCAAGTAGTTACGTTCCACTAAGGCATTGTAGCCATTTGTAGTTAACTAGACTTATACTCCGTATATACCTTTGAAATTTTGGATTATCATGATCATTTCCCTTTTGTCTATTTCCTATTCCTCTAACTCTTAAATTTAATATTCTGGTTTTTTAAATGTGAAATTTGAACTAAATATACTAAATATGTCTTTTTTATGTAGTACATAAAGATTTTTATTCTTTAAATAGTACTTGAATAATGTCTAGTGGTGGTGGATATCTATTTTAAACAATGTCTAGTGGTTGTGGATATTTACTTGAGCAATGTCCAGTGGACATTGAACAGTGGTACTTAATTGAGAAATAAAAACATACTCCCTCTGGCATCCGTCTCAGAATATTTGTCCACTTTTGACTTTTTTCGGTTAAAATGTGTAAACTGTTACCTCAAATTAAATAAAAGAAATCACTCTACGTAGCATTATAAGTCACTCAATATTACGCATATAGAACTCATTAATCTTTTATATGAATTTAGCTATTTATAGTGTCAATATCTTCTAAGCATATCCTTTACCTTTTATTATATTCTACTATTTTTAATTACTTTTAATTATTTGATTAAACTTAGGTTATTCACGTAGCCACTTCTCCTCATACGTGCGGCTCCTCCTCATTCGTGCGTCTCATACGTACGAGAACATCATCCTCCGTCGTTTACCATAGCTCTGCGAGAACCTCCTACGCAGTTTACGAATTAATGTATAATGCCTAAACAAGTTCGTACGTATTAAATTAAGTTCCATATATAACGCCCATGTTTGGCCAGTGTATTTTGGTGTAATAGATTATTCATGGAATCAAACATACGTTTTTGGACAGTGTGGAATTCATACATGAAAATAGTCATACAGATTTTTGGAAGTGTGGAATTCATACGTAAAAACGGTGTGGAATTCATACATAAAAAGAGCTATACATTTTTTGGGCGTGTGGAATCCATAATGAAAACAGTCATACAGTTTTTCACAGTGTAGAATTAATACATGAGAACACTGTCACATAAATCAATGGACATTACACTCCAACATGAAATTAAAGAATACAATAATACACTTACACACTGCCGTAAGATATAACAACATATATCCATTCTACACTGTCACATTAAATACTCACATGTAAAAAATCACACAGCCCACTACAATCATATTTTTTGCAGTGTATAATGAATATTTGCTGTTTAATTAAAGGAAAAAATTGAAATCACAAGTACGAAACATATAACACTGCCATTTAGAGTATTTTAAGGCTCTAAAAGTGTTATTGGATACAAAAATAGTTTTATTAGACGTATTATATCATATATTTTCAAAATATTATCTAATTAATATATAATATATATTTTATTTAATTATAGGTCAATGGTTGAAAATAGTTGATTGAAAAAAGTCAAAACTGGACAAATACTCAGGGTCGGAGATAGTATAATACTCCCTCCGTCCCATAAAACATTTCCTGTTTCAAAAAAGGCGTGCCCTTAAAATGAGTAATTTTGGTGTTATTTTCTAATTTTGCCCTTACTTTATAAAAGAGTAGGATGAGATGTGTAGAATAGATTAGTCATAATTAAAAAATAACACTAAAATTACTCATTTTAAAGGCGTGCCATTTTTTAAACAGGAAATGTTTTATGGGACGGAGGAAGTACTACATTAGGAAACTAACTATGTTTTAATAATATATAGGTAAATTCCCTTTTTTAAATTGCAATATGACATTGTTGGAATATTTCAAAGAAATGCATAACTTTAATTTGTTTCATAAATTTTAGTTTTATTATTAATACTATTACAATTATTATTACTCTTATTACGTAGTATTATTTGTTGTTGTTGTTGTTACTACAACTACTACTACTACTATTGTGGAGAAGGGGGTGGTGTACATTTGGGGTACACCTTTGGTGTACCCCTAGTATTGCTCAGAAAAATGCTAGGGGTACACCAAATGTGTACTCCATTTGTCTCCCACCCCCTCCTTGTCCACAAAAAAAGACAAGAAATTTTTAAAAAAAATAAAAATAAAATAAAAATAGGTGGTGGAGAAGGGGGTGGTGTACATTTAGGGTACACCTTTGGTGTACCCCTAGCATTGCTCTATATATTATCATTAGTCATTACTACTCCCTCCATCTAAAAAAAGAAATTCACATTACAAATTGTTTGACTAAAACTATTTCAAGTAATTATTTATTTCAACATTGGAACAAATTTTAAAAATAAAATTTATATATTAAAAATTATATCAAAAGTTACACAAAATAAATTGTAACATTATCATACTCCCTCTGTCTCATATCTTTCAATCCATTCAATTTTTAATGATCTATATTGCAACATTTTAACGATAATATCTCTGTTTATATTAAAAATATATTATAAAAATATGATACTTCAAAATTACGTTTCAAAATGAATCTATTGATATATATTAACTTTATACCACAATTTCATCTATTTTTCTTAATTTGTGATCTAAATTTAAAAATGTTGACCACAAATGTCAAAATGAGAAGACAGATATAGGATGGAAAGATTATTATTTTGCCAAGTTCATAACAAAAAAACCAGAAAAGAACTTAATAATGTAAATAGTAAATATTTTTAAAAAATGGGATAGATTGAATATAGCCTATTAGCTTTAGTGACCTTGTGCTTTAGAAAATTGGTACTGATACTCCCTCTGTTCTCAAAATTTATTTCTAAACTTTTCGTGGTTTCAAAATGTTACACCCACACCCTCTTTTTGTTTATTATTTAGATTTTCCTCTTTTTAAAAATTTTAGTTATCTCTTTGTTTCCATTACTAGAATATTTTTAAAATCTCTTTTCAAATTTTTATAATATTTCTTTGTGTTTGAAATGAAAATAAAAAAATCCAGAAAGGAAATTAAATATTTTCTACACAATGAAAATCCAGAATTAAAAAAATATGGAAAAATAAAATGAAAAAATTAAAATATGCAAAAAAAGTCTTATATAAAATGCAAATTTTTAGAATGCCTAAAAAAGACTCTAGAATTAGGATGTCCAAAGAAGATATTCATTTTTTATTATTTATTTTATTTTGTTTCTTATTTTATACTACCTCCGTCCCATTTTATAACGCATGTTTCGGTTTACGATGTTTGACTGAAATTATTTTCAAACCATTTTATATGACAAGTGGTATAGAATTAAAAAATAAAAATTACATATTAAAAAACTACATCAAAAGATCTACAAAACTAGTAGTGACAATAACATTTTATTTTATCAAATTGCTAACGAAAATAGAGAAAGAAAGTGAATGAAGTTTGACCCTGTAAATAGTAAACAAGCATTATAATTTGGGACGGATGGAGTACATCATTTTTTGAGGTTTTCAAAAAAAATTGCATTTTTATTCGGAAAACAAAAAACAAAAATTGTTAATTTGAGACGTACATATATGTTAATTTTTTCTGAAAAAAAATAATTTTAAATTTTAAGAACATTATAAAATAAATTTAAAAAGAAATTTAAAAAACCTTGATTAATAAAAGAAACAAATAACGGGGAAAAAACAAAAAATTAATGAGAAATAAAAATGAGCACTAACGCCCCCTATGGTTTAGAAAATATACACCATTGCCCCCTTTTTCGCCGAAAAATGATCACATGAGATATGAGTGCAATGTTTTGAAACCACAAAGAGTTTAGTAATAAATTTTGAAAACATGAGAGGTATTGGTGTCTATTCAGCCGAGGGAATATTACTATTACTCAGTACTCCCTAAGACTTATGTACACTATATACTCCATTATTTATGAAAATCGTTCTATATCATGGGCAGAGGGGAATAAGGTATATACTTTAAAATAGAATGATAAAGGACTTGCTAGTATTGAAATATGCAGCAAAGGAAAAAAGGAAAGGTGAAAAGGAAAAAAAACAATAATTTTATACTGCTTTGCCTTACCCACCTTAAGTCTCCTCCTTTTACACCATATACGTTTAACTGTACAGCTGAAGATTTAAAGATCTCTTCAACCTTAATACAAGTTAGAGTTTTGATCAATGCACCATTTCTTTAACCAAAACAAACAGGGATTCATGGCTTATCCAGAACTAACCAAAGATATGAAAAGGATGAAAGTGATAATCACTACTTTAATTGGAGTGAAACTGAAGATTACAAAATCAACATAGGAATAGTTTGAAGATCGACTCATATACATCTCTTGTAGTTTTTTGAATTACTCTGTATGAAAGAACAGACATTTTTAGCACCGTCTCTTAGAGTTTAGTAATGGTCACAGTTGAGAACTTCAAGTTTTCATACTGGTTTTATTTCAACAGATGAAAGTTTGTTGTTTAGTTTATATACTCCAAAAGGCAGCCTAACACTTTTTAGCACAATGGTAGTTATGTATAGGATTAAGCCTGTAATAATCCAAAAGAATGTTCAGTCCACCCACCAAACATCCCTACAAGTCCCCCTGTTGTATGAAAGAGAGAGCTCATAGAATTTGTTCGTTGATGCACAACGATGTAACCAACACCCTTATGGCATAACAAATGCCATATCATAAATAACACAAAATTCTTTTTTCTTCCTTCTCCCCCTCGCAAAAGAGACACAACGNCCCCCCCCCCCCCCCCCCAAGACCCTACTTTCTATGGGATCCTACTGGCTTTGTTGTTGCATCTATTGCAAAAACATTACGCTTCATTTGAGATGAAGAAATACAACACAAACACTAAATCCTCCCCACCCACCATTAAACTACAAGCCATAAAATTAAACACATTTCTCGGACTTGCAGAAAAAACTGATAATCGGTATGCCTCAAGTGAAGAACTGAAAACAGACAAAAGATGTATAAAAGCAAATATATTCCAGACCTTTGCCCCGTGCTGTACTTGGCAAAGATATATTGTGGGTGGGCTCTGCTAAATCAGGTAAAAGCCACTCCAACCAACTGGTTTTAGTATCCATACTAAATATGAGTGATGCCTCCAAACAGAGTCTGGAAGCCTGCCAACATAAAATGAAAAATTCACAATATCTGAAAACCAAGCCTGAACTGATGGAGTGATAGATATTAGATAGCATGTACCAGTAAATGTTTTTTTCCTGTCTTGAACATATTTCAATCTACCAACATATACAAAACCTAGCCATCAATCTTCATATCAAGTGCCCAAAAATTAGACATAGGAACTACTACTAAATATAAAGACTAAACATATATTCCAAATATGGCCAAACCCTTTCCTTTTACACAACTCGGTTCTTTATACCTCCAATTGAGGCATTGTTGCAGCTAATTGTCAAGTTCATTATCTCCCTGGTTCCCAACAAACTAGAGCACTACCTGCAAGTAATGTGACAGTCCATTTAAGCACTCATAAACACAATAACAATTCGAAAGAAAATAGGAAGGAAAACATATAGTCATATAGAAATATCAGAAACAAAATGTGGGGATATTGAAGATCTGCCAAATAAATTAACTTTCGATATTTGTTTTACTTCTATCATATCATACAAAGAATAAGAAACCTAAAAAAATTGTCATTCTTTAATAACATATATGTAAAAATGTTCATTCTTTACTTTTCCCTTCATTTTCTTGAGGTAAAACCACATATAAAAATTTACTGAGTAATTTTTCTTTCCTTGGTTTATTTTCAGGAATTCAAGCACCAAACCTACCCTAAAAGAACACATGATGAGAGGGATTGTAAAAGAGACCTAAGTTCTAAGCATGAAGAGTTCAGCTGGCTCAACCATACAACATCTGTCACTACAAGAAGAAGCATTGCAACTCATCAAAATCTTTACATTATATTAACATTCAAAACCAAACTATCCATGTTTCAAAATGATCACTACGGACATATAACAAATTCGCAGTATTGATGGAAGAGCACATACCAGAGACTCTTGAACTCGATACGAACAAACTGTGAGTCCAACCAAATACAATCCAGGGAAGAGATTCTGCAAATTAAGAGTTGATGATCATTAACAAAAGCAAACATAGATTGAGAGAGCAAAGAGAAGAGTGAGTGGAATATGGTATTATTCTGTACATCTACGAGCTTTTGAACGGCTTTGGGCCGTCTTCTGGGTCGCCGAGCAGGCCGAGACCCAGTCAATGCATACACATCTTCCTCAATCTCCTCTCTAGAAAGTGAGATCCAGAACTTCCTCTTCTTCTCCTTCTTTTCTTGCCCTCCTTCCACAATCCCTCTGAGCCTCTGAGACTTGGGCGGCAAATGGCTGCTATGCTTCTCAACCCAGCAATTGGTTTCCAGCATTTCAACTTTCCTATCCGGCGAAGTCCCCCTCGCCCTTCTCCCCCTCAGATTCCACACCTTCGCCTCTCCTTCCTCCCGGAGCAAGGAGGCGCCGTTTTCCACGCGCCGCTGCTTCAACCGCCGCCCTCCTTCCTCTTCTTCGCACGGCGTCCGTTTCGTTTTCGCGGAAGAACAAGGAGAGAACGGGGAATCTGACGGCGATCCGCGCGGAGGAAGCTTAGGGCGAGCCTCCGAGTCTGAACCGCCATCAGAGTGGGACGGAGGAGAGCGACGGCGGAAGACGTTAGCCTGTGTATGTGTATCGGCGGCGGCGGACACGGGAGAGTTCCGGCGGCGGAAGCGGTGGTTGGAGGAGGACGCATGGTGGGCCTTGTGGCCCCACTTCAAATGGGCCAGCGGCAGAGAGAAATTGTGAAGCGGCTGCGACTTCATCGGCTCTGCCGCCATTACAGAACAAGCATAAACTGTAAAAAAGAAAACCCTCGAGAGAGAGAGAGAGAGAGAGATTGTAGCTAACGCCGCCCCTCTCTGTGATTCAGTGAAGGGTAGAAATGGAGAGGTGCGTGTAGAAGAAGGCGGGCGAGAAGGTCATGTCGCTGTGTCTGTTTATGGAGGTTGTAGTGTTGTGTGGTACGGTGCACAATGCACACTACCCATGAAAAGACGCAATAGCCCTTTACGCTATATTTCCTTCACACCAACCAAATGTATACCCCAAATGTACACCACTCCCATTTTTACCATTCATTTTATTTTATTTTTATTTTTTATTTTTTTTTTGAATTTTTCTTACATTTTTTGTGGTGATAGAGGGGGTGGTGATGTTTGGGGTACCTTTTTAGTGTACCCCTAGCATTTTCCTTCCTTCAAATACTGTTTCCCCTTTTTGTTTGGTACATAAAATACTCAATTACTCATAGACTATATAGAGGGAGGACAAAGCAATCCCTAGAGCAGCCGATGTGGATCGTGGAAGAAGATGATGATGATGATCGACGATTGGAAGCAAAGATCTGATCGGAAATTTGCGCCGCGCGATTTTTAGGAGGAAGATCCAACTGAATTGGGCTGCCCTACCCTTGTGGATCCGACAAAATCGAGGAAGGAAGGTGCCTACATCAAACGGCATGAAGATGAGTGATTGATTTAGTATGATGCTGGTAAGATTAATTACACTAAATTTTTCAAATGTGAAACGATTCAACAACACTTTACTTGGGAACGAGTGTTTCCTTATTTGAGAATGAGTACCACTTTTCTAAGAATGAACACTATGATATTTATTATAATTATACTAAATAGATTTGTGAAAATGAGTACTTCGTTATTTCAAAATGAATACTACGTTATTTCAGAATAAGTATTATGTTATTTCAAATGAATAGTTATTTTTGCGCGAGAATGAGTACCATCTTACTTTAAAATGGGTACCACTAGGTTGTACCTTATTTCTAGTACAGCCGGTTGTACAATATACGCACTCCTCATAGACCATGTCTTATTATGGGGCTTGACCGCGCCATGTGACTTCACCCTCCATTAAGCTCCATCATTTGTAAGTACGTAATGGTGGGGGCTTGGCCGATTCTTTTTGTTTTGTTTTGTAGATAGTATTTTATGTAAATATATAAATTAAATATTGATTTAAGTATACTTCGAACGAAAAAAATACGAGAAAAAAAAGATACAACGAAAAAATGACAAAGGGAAAAAAATACATTGAAACACAACGGGAAAAAATATAACTAGTCTTCCATGTTCCATTTAGCCCGGATATTCTCCTACGCCTTCTCGGTGTCTTCTCTAGCACGTCCGGTCAAATGATCTGTTGGAGTCCACAGCACGCGCATGTCATTGTTGTATTGTCTTTCTTGTTGGAGAGAAACAAATGTCTTCATGTACGTTGATATCTCATCCAACTTCTCTTCCAACTTGCTATTACTCCTCGAGGACATTGGAAATTTTCCTCGGTTGTTGCGACCGAGTGGGTGGCGAGGTTTGGGAGGTATGGAGTATTCCTTGTCATCTTCATCAGAGTCGTTCAAAGATATTTCAACTCTAGATAAGGAATGACCCGAACCCAAGTCGGTTGACGAATCTATATTTGACCGTTTTGGCACTTTTAATCGGAGACGATGGGGCGAAACGACTCGGAACGGCGGAATAAAATAACGACAATCGCAAAAACACAGAAAAATAAAAGCAATTTGGGGAAAATGACTTATATACTAAATGATCCGACCCGACACGGAGATCGAATCACATCGAATGGGGTGACATGGCAAAATCCGCACCGTTTGCATACGAACAGCCACGAACGATTATCAAGAAATTGCTGGACAATTGGAGGGAAAGAACGATGCACATCCCAAAAACAATCATGACGATTTGAAATTCAAATCAACATGCCTTAAATTTTTGCCATTTGTCATTTCACTCATCATACCTTCGCACGTACTGAGGCTGAGCAGTGGGGGACTGCTCATACTCGGCCAAGAATTTTTTCAAGCTTCCACTTCAAAATTTTTATACTTTCATACGGCCTCGACACACTCGGTTGTGCGGGACTCAAAAGAAACCAACCCCTCAAGATGACAACTGTACTCGGGCGCGCATCCCTACTCAGCCCAGATACATTCACTTGGACCCTAGGCCGGACCCAGTCAGTTCCTTACTTCATTGTCTTCTAACGGCGGAGCGTGTGCACTCGGCCTCTGCCGCCAGCAAAGCACTGTGGACCTGTCACGGGCGTGGGAGCTTATTCGTCCTGTCTACTCAACAGGCTCACACTGAGGCGTCTCTAATATCATTCGTCTGTACATTAGCCACACTATTTGTAATTATATTTCCTGTATCATTAGTTAAAAGATACGCTCTAGTGGGCCCGACCCACTAGATCATGTCCTAGACAACGTATAGGAAACACAAGCATATGACAAATGTATTGTATAAATACCCCTCCTTTTGAAGGAGGGAGGACACATTCACATTCACTACCAAGCAAAAATACTTACTCTATTCTTACGACCAAAAGGCACTCAGCCCTTGTTCGATACTCTCCTACCTAGTCTCGTAGGTCCCGGATTCTAAAACCCATCATATTTAAAATGGATAATATATTCAAATTACATGGCTTGGTAGAATCTATTGTCTTAGACAAGGACAATATTTTTCTGAGTAACTTTTGGAAGGAGTTATTCAGCATCCAAGAAGTAGACTTGTTTAAATCTACATATTATCACCCTCAAACCGATGAACAAATAAAGGTGGTCAATATGCGCTTGGAGATATACCTAAGATGTTTTGTGTCGTGTACACCCTCGTACTTAGAGTAAATGGCTCCCTCTAGCTCAGTGAAAGTATATCACATCATACCACAAGTCTTGAAACACAACTCCATACACCATTTTATATTGTCAACAACCCCTTTGCATTTACCTTATCTTCCTGGGTCTTCTTCTAATGAATCAATATACATAAGCCTATATGAGAGGAAAAACATCATCAAGATACTCTACTTCCATCTACATAAAGCACAACACAAGACGAATAAGTATGACGATAGCAACCGCTTAGAAAGATAGTTTACAATGGGCTAATGGGTAATATCCAAAGTTGTAAAGCTAAACGAAACAATCAATATAGCACGGATCCAATGAAAAGCTTAGTCTCATGATAGCCATTCTGTAACACCCTAATCCGTCCAGGTCTGCAGCCCCTTTCGGACTAAAGTATTTAACTTGGTAATCGTAAAAATTTAAAACTTTTCAAACACACTTTATTAATCTGAATAATATTTTTCATAACATATACAGTACGGAGTATTCAACAATATTGCGGAAGCGAATTTTATTTTGACATATCATAAATCATTTCAAACTTGTCACATCCATCCCGACAATCTCGCCCCATCTACCGCCAGGATCACATTATGCTCTCTGTTTACTTGCGTGTAGCAAATAAAACACACTACACGCTCAGCGGTAAAGCTGAGTAAGCATATCTAATGCGTCGAACATCCATATAAACTGAATCTAAATTCATAATCAAATCATTTGATATCATGCACACAATGTTCATTTCAGACATTCACAGTTTTGGTATTGTTCAGTTCATATCAACACATTTTATTCAATTCAGATATTATTTCAATAGTGCTCTTAAATTATTCTTAATCTAAGGCCAGATCATAACAATGTTCTTAGCTATTCTTAGTCTAAAGCCAGATCATAATAATGCTCTTAGCTATTCTTAGTCTAAAGCCAAATCATAATTTCCATAACCAGATTCTTAAAAGGCAATTATTAATCAGACACTTAAACTATCATTCGTTTAAGGCAATTGATTTCGGACACTTAATTGTAGTCAGTTAAGGCAATCAGACACTTAAACTATCATTAGTTTAAGACAAATGATTTCGGACACTTAACTGTAGTCAGTTAAGAAAACAACAATATAACGATTGATCAACATTGGATCGGGCATTCCCAAACGAGTAATCCTCTAGATTGGTCTATGAATCCCGTTTATGCATTTTTATCTAATTTATTAACAATTATGTTTTCATAAGTTCATCCTAAGATCTATTCTAGAGGTCTTCTAGATAGTCTTAACATCAATTAACTAATAGGTATATCTTAAAGTCTTCTAGATATCCTTAACAATACACATCATTTTCTTGTTGATCAATTAATCATTTTAAATTATGGTTCAATAGTTCATAATCATAATTTAGTTCAAGATAGTCAAACAAACATATGTATTCATAATTTCATCTTTACGGTTCTTTCGTTCAATTCCATACATTTTTATTTGTCATAATAAAATCATGATCGTTATGTAGTCATAATTACTCGGGTCATCCATTTGATCATCATAATCAATATTTATTATCAATGATATTCCATTATCCATTATAATAACCATTTATTCAGGATGTTATCAAGGTTTGATTATAATAGTCACAATAACATTTATTAACAAATAGCGGCCTAGATTCGAGTGTTAACACCCAAACTTACCGTCATGCATCATATAAGATTTTAATTTATTAAAAGCATCATTTTTATTGTGAAAAATCATTTTTATAATGATCATAATTAATTGGTATCAAAAATAGGATTTTAGAACTCAAAAATAGCATTTTTCGTAGTTGACTGTCTTCGGAACGGTCGACCGTTTCAAGTGACGGTCGACCGTCATTGCCTCCGTTGTACTGAAGCCACTGGTCTGGTAACGGTCGACCGTTGCTACCTTATAGCAACAGTACTTTGTCTTCAACCTCGGTTCCAATTTTCGAAACATCATTTTAAGTCACCAAACTTCAATTAAAGTATATAGAAATGTTCTCCAGTGTTCATAGATCATTTAAATACCATTAATTCGAAGTTTTAACAATAAATTCAAGGTTTAAAATTCTTAGTTCTTCAAGCATGTCAAACACAAAATTCAACCAAACGACCATTTATGAACATAGAAACGATCTATACGAACATTCTAGTAACTAGATATATCTACGAGCTTACTTCGTAGTTTAACGATGATTCCGGCGATTGGACGGTGAAACTTCCGGCGAACACCACAGCTTGCTCCGGCGACTTTGACGGAAATCAACAACAGCAGTCTACTCTCCTCACTCTCATGATTCTAATGGGATAAATTTTAGAAAGAATGGTGCAGATTTGAATATTTTGAGTGTTCTTTATATAGAGTTGATGAAGGAGAAGAGAACATATGCTACGTAGGATTTCCAATGCTGTGAGTTCATTCGGCGATAGTGGAGGAGGAGGCGCCGTTCTCTGATTGGGACTAATTTTAGTCCCAGTCGGTGTACACTTTTTGGTCCAACTTTCTTCGAATTGAATTTTGTTTGCACCGTTGCGATCAGATAGTTAAACTCTATCCAACTATATAATTTTTGTATTTATTTGTATCACTTTTTCCGACATCATATTTTTGGGTGGTTGACTTTGATAGAGTAAAATTGGTTTAATTGACCTTTCTCATAAAAGGTTTTCTCATTTAATTCATATCAAATATTCTCATGATTTATTTTAACAAATCATTTCAATATTTACATTCTAAACAAATTCTTTATTTACTCTTGATTTGGGTCTGTACTTAGGTTCACAATCAAGACCACACAAATAGTCCACATATTGGATTTATCTCTATGAGACTTATCCAGATTTTGATATTGGATGTCAAGACACATTTCATATCGGCCCAAAGCCCAATAATAATTTATTTTAATCAAAACAAATTTGATTAATTGATTATTTATTCATTAATAATTCTAGGGTATGTTTTGGAACGTTACACATTCTCGTTAAAAGGCATAAATCATTTCATCATCTTTTTTGCCTTGTCTATGTGATTCTTCTCCTCTACTCTTATCTTCTTCGCTGGGGGCGGTACGTAATAGCAAGTGGCGCGACTCTAGTCCTACGATGGGGGCGGCAATCGTTGTGGCAGAAGGGAAAGACGAAAGTGGCGAGGAAGATGATGGAGATGGCTTCGGAAGAGGAAGATAGAGGCGAAAGAAGAATATGGAGGAGGACAAAGATGGAAAAGTGGGAGTTAACTAAGGAGGAGGCAGATGAG